TCCCCGCGGCGCCGCGGGGCCCCTCCACTGGCAGCTGCCCGGTCCCGGGGCTGGGGGAAGGCTCTTCCAGGGCTCTGCTCCCTGCCGCCCGGCACCGGCCCAAGGTCGCTGCAGGCCCGGGTCACCTTCCCTCCGAGCGTCCCGTGCGCCGGGGCTGCTGGAAAGCCGACCTTCCCAAGAGTTCTGTGAAGATGAAGACTGTGACCACAGCCAGCAAAGTGCAAACACCTTCCCTGCCAGCAACAAAACACAACGAGCAAGCATCCGGCTGCGCAGGGAAAATGATAAAACAGAGCAAATTCCAAAAAGATACATCAGTAGCAGTTAAAAAAATAAGACTCATCCATCAGTCTATACTACCTCACTACTCTGAGTCACACATTTTTTTCTTTGAAAACTCGTTAAAAGAAGATCAATACTGCTATCAATTCTGCTTGCCTGCAATAAGAAAATAATGACTAAAATGAGAAGGCTTTCAAAATTAAACATTGACACAGATGCAAAAGGTAGGAAGGAGAACAGCACTGCAGCTTTTTCCTCCTAGTTGTCATAATTTTTCTGTGGTTCTTTAGACAAATAAAATAGAAAAGCAGCAGTAGCGACTACAGACATTGACAATCGCTGAAATGCCCATGTGTTACATGAATCCCTGACAGGCGGCAGAGGTGCTATGAAGCATAAGACATTTCGTTTGTCATTTTTCTGACTTACCCCCATTAAAACAGACTTCCCCGTCCCCCCGAGAGCAGTAAGCAGAGCACAGCTGCAGAGGAAGAAGCCAGATGTTGCTGTAACACCAAAGCCGATAAAGGCATGGCTACACACAGCAATGGGAAGATCTGGCCTACAGTGTGTCAAATGACATATTTTGAACTTCTGCAATAACAAGCAAAAATTCTCTCCAGTTACTCAGTTCTGCTGAGATTAGCAAGAAAGGGTCACTTCTTGGTGCATAAAATTTGCATATTGAACACCTGACCCTGATGCACTCCTCTCCAAACTCAATTCAGAAGCTGCTGAGCATTTCCAAGCTGGGATACAAATCCAGCCCAGAGCTCAGCTCTTTGAGCCAGCCCCTTCTCACCAGGTGCCCTGCTCCACAGGTCTGGCAGCCCGCTTCCCAACAGCGGTCTGTCATCCGACCACAGAGAGGCCTGGGAGAAGCGGCTGTCCGGATGCTGCAGCTCTTCGGCTCTGCATTACCAGGGACTGCATGGATGAGGGGATCGTGGCTGCTGCCTGTGGTTTTGCAGTAGCATCACAAACTGTGCCCTTTCGTGCTGAGTGCAGGAAAATGAATCGAGAACAGCCTCCTCCCAACAAGCTTTCACCCTGCGGTGAATTTTAGCCTATATGCCCAAGATGAAGTTTTCAAAGCAGTTTTACCAGCCAGCTGCTAAATATCGCTTACTTGAATTCTTTGGTTTAGCCTGTGCTCAGATTGCTCCATCCTTTCCCATACAAAAGCTGAATTTTTCCTTCGGGGTTTAGCCAGAGAGACTCAGCCTCCAAAACACCACTAGAAAAAAAGAAAAAAGATCAGTTTTGCTCATCCAGATTTAAAGCATTTCTCTTGTTGATACAGGTTCTGCCCCTTGTCTCAGGGAGACATTTTAAAATCCTTCTTGCAGTCTCCGAGCTCTCCCACTCAGACTGTCACAGCTGGACAGCCCTGGTAGGAGCAAAAGAGTATTTCAGTTTTAATTAGGGCTGGGAGCTCCCAGCAATATTTGGTGGATTCAATGCCTCGGATCGCATCCAAGATGAGGTGTCTGTTGCTTACCAGGTGCCAAGCGAGCTTGCCTTTTGAAAAACAATTTGTGAGCTCCTGTTTTGTGCTCTGAGGGAGATCCAGTGTTTAAGTTCTCACATATGAAGCACTGAACTGTGAAGCTGCAGACTACCAATGCAAAACACTGAAGTCCCCCCCCCCCAAAAAAAAATCTCTGTACTTACCCCAGAGGAACTCAGGAAGTGAACATCCAATAAAAAGCAGCCAGGTAAACATTAGGCAAGGCAGGATTCATTTGATCTAGGACAAAAGCACGTTCAATCTCATACTCCTAGACTGCTAAAGCAAAAAGCTCTGCAAAAAGCTCTGGGGGTAGGGGCAGAGAGGGGCAATAAATGAGAAACGATCGTTTGTTTAATCCTATAGCTGGCGTTCACAGGGTTTTCTATCTGTCCCATCTGCTTAGTGGAAACAGCGGCATAAAACTGTGTGCAAAGGGGAGCTGGTGCAGTGACAGACGGCGCGAGGAGAGCTCGGAGCCGGGCAGAGGCAGCTCATTGCTGTCTGAGCCAGTACCGCATTGGAGAGGGACAGCAGAGGCGTGCCCCAGCGCAGCACAATCCTGTATCGAACGGGAAAAGTCAGCAGCACCAGGTTGCGCTCCTACGGCTTAATCAAGGAGCAGGAGAAACTCAGATGTTGTGAGTGCAACAAGCTGGGCCTCCCAGCCAGCTCCCAGGGTCTGCAGGGGCAGGAGGAGTCCTCAGCCTCTCGGGCTTTGCCAGGCCACAAGCAGCTGCCTTGCAGGCACCACTCCCACCAGCAGCCCGAGGAGGTTTCACCTCGGTGGCTCTGGAGAACCCTGGAAAGTCCAGAGCTCCGCGGGAGGGGGCCTTGCATCCGCCTTGCCCTGCCCAGGGGTGCTGCTGTGCACAGCATTGCTGTGGCTTTCACGCGCTTGGTGTTTCTTTGCGGGAAAGCTGACAAAAACCCCTGGATTGCTCCCACCCTGGCCTTGGCTGTGCCCAAAGCTCTCCAGGGCTCTCTCGTGAGACAGAACGAGGCAGTGTGGCCACCACCTCAGGACATCACTTTGTCTGGCCTCTTGGCCTCTTTTGGATCATTTCCTTCCTTACCTCATTTCTTCTTTCTCCCTTTAGTCTTCTATCGAATAAAAGTGCTTCTCTGTGAGATAGGACAGCTGCTGTAAGCCTGTAATGAGAGAAATGGCCAAAAGCAACAGCCTAAAAGCTGTCTAATCCTGGTAGCAGTCTGCCAAATCTCATAATGGATAACGAGTGCTGAATGTCTGGATTGTGTTTTCCCAGCAGTGATGCTGTGGTAAAAAAAAAAAAAAAAATTTTTTTAAATTAGTAATGAACTCCCAAACAGCCTTCCAATGTCCACACCTCCCAAGTGTTTCCTAACCCCTTTTCACCACTATCTGCCTGTCCCCATCCCCATTTATTACCATCTCTAGCAGGACTTGGATATCTCTGGAAGGAGGGTAAAACAGCTTGCCCTAGACCCACCACTGCAGTCATGGCAGAGTTTAATCTCAGACTCGTAAAACATTGCACTCACATCACCATAAGAACTAAGACCTCCCAGACTACCATCCATCCCTCTCACCTTGCATCTTGTCTCCAAGAGAGGCCGATATCCCAAACCTCATGACAGGAATTTATTCACTAAGACTCTTTTTAACCTCCGGCAGCAGGATGTACTGGTGTGAAGGAAGATGTTTCATATCCTGTATGCACTTACCATGTTTAACAGAACCACACATCTTCCCATATTTCATATAAACATCCAGTCCTATTTGGACTTTTCCATGGAGTAAAAAAGTTGTTACTCTAAACTTGACATGTTATCACCACATTGCTCATTTTAATGGTCTGTTTCATACCCTCTCATGTTGAGGTGATCATCCCAAAGACAGCGAATAAAGTCCTGTGGAAAATAAATTGTTAAGAAGCTCAAAACTAGCAGAGGAAAAGGCTGGTTCACATCACCACTAATTCCCAGGAAGGAAGAGTAAGTTGCCTCTGTCGGAGCT